ATATTCAGAAATTTTGGAATTGAGCAGCACTCCAAGGAAAGCATAAACATTTTAGTTCTTGCTTTCAGATGCAGAGAAACTTTGGAGTTTGGAATACAAGAACCACAGTACCCCTCTCTGCCAAGGGTGAGCTGGAAGTCTACGATGACCCCGAGTCATTAGGAGACAGCAGTGGGCAGGATAAACCAGTGTCTGATGTCAGCCCTTGGATTTCACCTGTCATTTATCTGCTGTCTTTTTCATTAAAAAAAAAAAAAAAACATAATCCGCTGGTCTAAACACAGCAGAAGCAGTTGTCAGCGTGTATATCCAGTAGTCCAGAGGTCTGGTGGTGCAGGAGGGATGTGGGAGTGAATTGAACCTTCCTAACTGAGGCTTGTATACTTATCAATGCAAGAAGAGGGAAAAGAAAATAAGGAAAAAGGCAACACTCCCACATCTCATTAGAGCTATTCTGGTTTTTCATTCATTGGAAAAAAAAGCTAGGTTAGGAGACACTCAGGAAGGAAAAACTAGCCCCAGTAGTCCCCATTCCAGTCAGTATTTTGTATTTAGAAACCCTTGAAAGAAGGGATAAACACCTCGTGCTCATTTGTTTAGCCAGGACCAGAACCCTTACTGCAAATTTCTGTCGGGGGAAGTGAGATTCCTGCATGTTTTTATTAATTTGCAAAACAGAAGGCTGCAAACAAAACACTCATTCTTGGCATAACTACATTCCTCAAGTTTAAAAGCTAAAATTGGGCTCCATGAGTTGTTTGTTTTTGTCTTTTTTTTTTTTTTTTTTTTTTTCCAAAACACCCAGCTTAGGTCGTAGGTGGAGGAAATTCACACCATTTACTTTTAACATCTAAAAGCAAAGTGCATCACTCAGTCCTCCTAAATTCCCCCTAGAGCTGTCTTTGAGACACCCTTCCCCGAAGTCCAGCTCAGTTGTCCTTGGAAGAAATCTGATTTTTTCTTCTCATTGGCTATAGAGGGAGACCAGGGATTTTCTTCAGCATCTCTTCCTTACTACAAAATTTCACTGCAAATCTTCATGAATGCCAGATGGCTTCAAGGACATCCCTTCTCTCTAGAACAGCTGATTGCTTTGTTTGGATGACAGGGCCATGCATTTCAACAGGATCCTGCATAAACAGCTTCATTTCTTGCCTTTATGAAGTTACTAGGGAGAACGTGAAAGCCCTGAGCATCACAAACTGAAACCTGAGACGCTTGGAAGATTCCTAATGATTATGTAAAGACAGAAAAGCACAGCTTGAGTGTGATTAGCTTTTCCTGGGTTTTTTGTGGTTTTTTGTTTTTTTGTTTTTTTTTTCCTTAAGTCATAGCAAACCACATTACACTCAAAAAAAAAAAAAAAATAGAAAAACCTAAAGTGAGGCTTATCAGATGAGTTGGGTGTTTACACTTTGCTGAGAAGCACACCCATCACCACTTTGGTGCAGAAGAAAACAGATAGCCAGAAGCTGCTGAAATAACACAGCCACCTCCCAGTCTCAGTCACTCAGAGTTCTATGAGGAACAGGTAATATTTCCTTTAAAAAAAGATTGCTTAGAGGTTGTCATCTTCACAAAAAAAATAAATGCAAAAAAAAACATATGAATTGTAGCAGGTCTTAAAGCACTGGAGCTTTGGTATTTAAAAAAAGACCTATAAGAAAAGTGATTTTTAAAATCATGAACCCTCCTCTGTACCATACTGCTCATCCAGAGTAAAATATCAATATCATCAGGACCACATGAAATGATGTCTGAGCAGGACCTCCTTAATATAGGGCAGCTGAGCATATGTGCCTTAAATGGCAGTCAACAGTAGTCAGAACACCATAGAGCATTCCTCCAGGGATACCTTTGCAGAGGGTGCACCATGCAAAGATCGGAGGCTTTTTTTTAAACAAACAAACCAACCAAACCACCCTGCTAAAAAACATATGGAAGGCTTAGGGACTTGTGAAGGAGGTTTGGAGACTGCCTTGCTGGAGTGGACCACTCCGAGAGAGACGGATCTCAGCCCTCTGGCAGCCATAGGGTGTCCCAGAATGATGGTGTTTGGTCACGTTAGAAATTATGACCAGGAGAAAACACCCTGTTGCACAATCTCCCTTATCGCTCTCTCCTGCCCCAATTCCTTCATTAGCTTAACGAGACCTTGAGTGACCAGTCTAAGAGCTGCCACCCCACAATTGTGTCTCTTTCTACACGAGCTCTGAATAAATGAAAGGTTTTGTCTCCTGGCCCATCATTACAGCTTCTTTCAAAAGCAAAGGATTTAAAAAGAAGCATATAAAAATTTCTCAAAGGCTCCAGTCTGTTCCCAAACTCCAAAACAATGGTGTTCAAATAGTTTGATGCCATAAACCCATCCTGGCCCTTAAAAGAAGGTTTTGTTAGCCCTATTTAAACCTCGTAATTATTATCAATGTCAGAGTGAGTTTTAGGGTTGAAAGTAAAGTTACCATATAAGCAAAATATAATTGTAGGTCAGAAGTTAAAACAAAAACGCATTGGCAAGGTGTGAAGACCTCGTTAAAGCAGAATCAGGCTGTTCCCTCTTCCCCTTTCTGCTACCTTTGAAGTTTTTCACCCCGATAGTACAGCAGATACAATTTCTCCTTGGTGCATAACTTCTAGGGCAACCTCTGTGAAAGCTGGAGCAGTTCTGGTATTGAGGAGAAAAGCTATTTTACCACTTCTGCAGGTCCCATGGAAAAAGCTCTGAAAACAACCAGCAGCAGGCGCAAACTCAGAGCATCAGAGCTGGGTAGTTTTGAACCTAGATATCATTTGGCCTCTTTTTCCTCAACACCCATGGTTTTCTTACAGGATAGCAGAGAGAATATTTATTAGAAGTATCAGAGGCATTTAGGAACAAGAATCCCCTTGGACTTGCAAGAGTTTTATGCATTATATCCAAGTGGTGCTTTTGAAATATTTTCAAAATGATTGGTTGAAACAAAAAATTCAGACTCCAGGCTTTTGATTAGTTTATGGGCCAGGCATCACAGACATCAGACAGTGGTTGGAGACTATAATTAGACTGAATGACTGGTCAGGCAGGTGCAGCTATATGGTCCTCACCTTATTTTTACCATTCAGAAGGATTTTCTTGTTCAAGCAGCTGGAATGGGGTATTTTCTTTGGTTAGAGGTTACGGTCTGTCACATGGCTACACAGGAAAGTCTTCTTTATGGTGGGGTCTCTTAAATGCTGACATGAAACAACTACATCAGAAAGGCACAAGAAATTTATAGTATTTGTGCTGTTTGCAGATTGCTGCAGCTCTTGGAACAAGCATCACCTGGCAGAAGGCGCTACGTGAATGGCCTCAAGTGCTCGGAAAAGAGAATCCATTCAACGACCAGATTGAAGCTATATTCAAAGATCAAGGTGGACACTGACTTACAAACTGCCAGAGCCCTGACGCGGTTTACGGTGATGCTTCCCAGTGCATTCTATGAAACAAGATGGTTCAAGACACACACACAGAAAAGGGGGAGGGCAAGTTATCAGAGCCAGTAGCAGCGGACATAACACAACAGCAATCTTTTCAGTTTCTATCTCACCTGCACAAGTAGACTATGCTTTTTCTGCAGAGCTACAAAAATAAAAATCAAAGGATACCTGCCAGCTAGATCATTTATTGTACCAGTTTGCAAATCCATAAATTTTTTTCCATATATAGCAAACTCCTAGCCTTACCTATTTTATTTTATTTTCCCCCTGCAGAACATTATTTCTGGGCTTTCCATTTGTACTGTTTCAACAGTTAGTCTGATCTCAAAAAGGGGGAAGGACAGACACCAAAACTCATTATGTTGCTATGAATTGCATGTATGTAATTGCCCTGACGGTCAGTACATTGTTTAGCTGCTATTTACTTATTAAAATGTGCCAGGAATAACAAGGCACTAGAATTTTCATTTGCCTGGCAGCATCAGTGCAGGCACAGGTTCTCTTCCCCCCCATAAACAAGACAGTAAGCTGACACCTTTCATGTATTTAAAACTGGCTGCTTTTTATACATCTTTGCTCTTTTGCTTCCTAACAAATACAACACACCCAGCCTCACATCTTTCACAGACATGACCCACTGAAGATACGGGGCAGCCCTTGCCCGCTCCACTTCATACACAGACAGACTTGAAGGCTGAGAATCACCAGTAGTTTTTTCACCAGCTTATCCAATGCTCTTAGCAAAATAAAGAAACAAATATTAAAAAAAATAGAGGCAACTCTACCCTACTCACAACCTTACTGGTGATGAAGGGATCAGACAGCATAAAACGGCATTAATTACAGGTGGAAAAAATCAGGCAAATAGAAAGTGTGACCCTGACATGACTAAACCCCCTCCAAACCAGCCGAAGATCAGGTAGAGTCGCTCTGCTCTCTGCTCTGAACCCATCCCCTGCGCAGGGCCAGCTCTGCGCCTGCCGTCCAACCTGGAGGGGAATCCCTGGCGGGGCGGCACGCCGGCCCCGGCTGCAGGAGAGGCATCTGCCCAGTCGCTTGAATAGGCAGAGGATGACTTGGCTAATGCTATTTTGGTTGAAGCACTTATTACTGCTATCCTAGATACTCTTCCTTTTTTTAAGAGTGCAGTCAATGCCGCATCTTTTATTAAGATAAAAATTCCTCTGGGACAACCGCTGGCAATTAAGTAAATATTCGAGTCACCTACTTTAAGAAACCAAAAGGGAATACGTTCCTTAATTGAATGATGCTTACACACAAGGCCCCAGTTCATTCAAGGCATTGAGATGTTACCAAAATATCCAGTCTCCCAAGAAACAGTTTCAGCTCCAGAGCGGCGTGCCTGAGGAAGACTATTTAGCATTAGAAGGAAAAGGAAAGCTACCTGCTTCCTGCACAAATTCTCTCCACCAAACAAGATAACATTTGATGCACTCCAGTCAGCTAGAACACATTCTATTTTTTATTACCTATTCAGGCTTCCTATCTTTCAATAAAAACATCACAAGGACAGAAGCAAGTGCATCCACGTGGTTTTATTATAGACCAAGTACAGCACAGACAATAATTACAGAATATCAGATAATTTCCTTTACACCAAAATATGGAAACATAGCAATTAGAAGGGGGAAGGGAACAGTATGAGTTTAGAAGCCAAATTTTGAGGCAATCTCATTGCAAATTATTGTATTTAATTTGTGGTTGGGATTTAATAATGCCAATTAGGAGTTTTACAAGCTAGTAAAATTGAAATTTCCTCAGCTAAAATAAGCTTCACTGCCCAGAGCAAAGCGTTTTCCATTTATAGACTTTCTTATTAGTGAACATCTTGAATTTCTGAACAATGGAAAAAAAAAAAAAAAAAAGGCCTTCTTATAAAATTAGAACAGCATCTTCTCAAAGATGACCTGAAACCCCCAGGGCCAAAGCAAAGCGTTCCGATTTGCCCAGTATAATTGCTCCGTGCTTGATCTGGGGTCTCTGAGGAACTTCATGAAGCGGGCTTGCCCCTGGCTGAAGTTCTGACCAAGCCCTCCGTGCTCCTGCCTCGGAGGCGAGCCCCGCAGTTCAGAATCAGGCCCTATGCAGAAACTTGATTTGTAACTAAAGCAGTAACCATTTGCAAATAAAGATGATATTTAGGCCTATTAAGCTGTCAGCTTTTACAACTGCTATGTCTCTCCATTATTTCAAAGACTGCAAAAACCAGCTGAAGATCTGCACCCCCAACCATCAATCACTTAGCACTACCACTCTAAAAATAAATGTTCTATATTTAAAGAAATGCTTCTGAAAAAGCTTACTTATTCTAAAGCAGTAACGAACTATGAATCCTAGTCTATTCTATTAGCTTAACTGTCTCCTGGTGCTTAGGTTGGTTGAAGGTGACAAATGCATGGAAGAAAGAAACAGGAAAAAGAAGTTTCTTTTGGAAAGGTAAGTATAGCTTCATGAAATTCAAACTTTAGAGAAGTACAGATTTCTAGGAATGGTCAATCACAGTCTTGTTTGAGGGAGAGTTAGAGCATGTGAAGAGGAAGCATTATGCCACTGGCTAGTTCCAACACACTGCAAATTATGTTATTCTGTTCATAAACCGTTTTTTTTATAAAACTTAAAGCTCTGTTTGAAATCCTCCTGTATAGAACATCTATAGCTCCTTGTAGATATTTGAATTCACTCAGTCCGGCCTCTTCGAAGAGTTGCTGCTGCGAACATGGAAAAATACATTTGCCAACATTCTTGAAGCCTTCTGCACAGCTCGGCCTTAGAGGAGGTGGGGAAGGTGGAGGGCAGGAGCACAGCGGTGTGTGCTGCTGCGCCAGTGCCACACGCTTCTGCTGGCTGCAGCGGTGCGCGCCCCCGCCAACACCGGCCTCTGCCTACAACTCTCCAGCCAGGTCAGCTTTTCTAACCTGCAGCACCTCTCGCACCCCATACCTTTTCTTGATGAGGATAGTCTTTCATCTTGGGCAATGGACACGCACAGATTAGTTTCTGCGCTGGATAATAGCTCAATTAGCCTAAATAAAAATGTCGTTCCCTTTTATACATCCACTTCCATTTTTAACACCTTCCTATGGACTCGTTTCATAATTTTGTATTTGATGATTTTCATTAACATCCACTTGGAAGTTTACGTAAACAGCCTACCATGTATGCACAGATAAAATTTGCTCTCCCACTACTGCCCGTGCTGCCTCGCTATTCGTCTGCCACGTCTCTATCACAAGAGACAAGAACCAGCTCTCCTCCCTGTCCTTGCCGAGCTGCTGGTCTCCCGCAGCTTCTGCATTCAGAAACGTTCCCAGCAGGTCAGGGTGACTGCCCCCTGGACAATCCGGCCTCCCACCACACAATCTGGTGCTGGCTGCCCCTGCGGCACCACATCAAGGGGTGTTTCGGGACACATGTACTGAACAGAATCCTTTCTTCAACCCTGTGTGGAGTCCAGCTTTTCCTCTTCAGCCTACAAATTAGTACCTCAAATGCATAGACGACATTCTGCTTTTTTCATAAAGTGTTTTGTTCTTTATTTTAAATGAATAAAATAAATCTCAATACATAGCTTGGAAATTTTAAGACATCAGAAAAAGAAAACTAGATTTAAAAGCAAGTACAAAAGTGGCAGGATGGAAACAGTATAAGCTAACAGAATTTAGTGTTTCAAGTGTGAATATATAACAGCAATAGCAATTTTATGTATTCCACTGTTGCATTCGCAATAGTGAAGTAATGAGATAGTATTTCACTAAGGCCAGTGGAAAGCTGTGAAAATTGCAAGTTTTAACTGACAAGCTTTGCAATTTTAAAGATGGGTCTGAAGTACTCTCTTCATCTGCATTTATGGATATGTCTAGGAGGGGGAGGAAGACCCATACTTTCGGCCAGTGGAGTATTAGTTGGCACATAGCAGCTTTATAGTGTCTTATAAAAAAAAAAAAAAAGCGCTTTTACAACCTATTCCTGGTTCTCAAATGGAGAATTCTAGCTTGTACAAACCATGAGTCCCAGGAACTACTGACATATACATTCCTAAAACTATTTTTTTTCCTGTTTGTTGGATTTTTATTTTATATAGCAATCCTAATAAAAATATTCAAGACTTTTCATTTCTATCAAAGTGCAATATACTGCATACATAATTCCACACCTGTAAACCACATAGTATACATGCCATGAATTTATCCACACCGATTTGTATGAGAAATTGCAAAAGTTGTATGAATATATTGTGCACGTCTTTTGTTCTGACCACAAGGACACTGCATAAGCAAGAAATGCCTACACTGAATGTTGCAGAATAAAATTTACTAGTATCTTCTATCATTACAAAAAACCTGACAAACCCTCCAATATTAAATCTTTTGTTTCAGCACCATCCTTGTTCAAGAACTCTGAACTATTCTTTCTTTCAGGGAGCTGAGTTATCTAGTAAGCTTGTTTTCTCACTAGCTTGCCCCCTTCTTCCTGCCCTGAAGTGTGATTTCCTGCAATAATTTAGTTGTTTAAAGAGAAGAGAATGTACTTAGCTAAAAAAGACTTCCAAAAAAGGAGTTACATAAATATTTAGCACATTTAGAAACGGCTAATTGCTTCCTACCATGCTCAAAAGCTAGGAAGTAAAAAAGTTTTAAAATTCTTAAAGTGAAATAGAAATACTGCATAACATAGTCCTGTAAAATGTTAAATACTCTCAGATTTAAAGCATAAGTGACCCAGAGGACTTCCCACACCTTCACTTAAGTTATTTTTTGTGTAGTTCATACGAGTTTTTGCATATGTATTTTCTTCATATTTCCCTTCCAGAATTTAAAGCTTTCCAACGGGTTTGTAGCAGGCATCAGGCTGCCACATGCGAAGATCAACAAGGACTTGGTTGAGCTTTTGCATCCAAAGGTTACGCTCTTCTTTAGTATCAGCAGACAGCCAGTTCCTAAAAGGCAAAGGACCCAATGGATTAGATATGTCTTTCTCCACCTTTACTTAGTTATTCTGAAAAATGTCAAGCTGATCCATCCATAGAAGCCCAAATAGCAGGGGAAAAAAGGAAGTAAAATATTCCACAGTCCTGCTACTAAGCTACCTGGCATTTCTACTTCCAGAAAAGTTGAGTTCTTTGTCTTTAGAAGGCTGAAATGGGACAGCAAGACAAAACAGGACTAAAAGTGAAACAAACGGTTCAAGTGTCATCCCAAAGTCTTAGCGTTTAAATGAGCTTTTTTTTCCCCCAAAGTTGTGAAGCTCCTGTTACTCAAACTATCACTTGAGACAAAACACCCCTCCCCTACCCCTACACATCCCATAACCTCCCACAACCTTCATGATTTTTATCCACTCACTTTGTAACACAGAGCGTGTCTCTGCATTGGCTGACGAGAGTCTCTCTGTCATCTTCCCTCTGTGGCCGGACAGTTATTAGTTCAAAAGTGTTGGGACGGGCACAGAACTCCCTGTTGGCAGGTTCAATCTGATGATTAGTGCAGTTAGCCAAGTTAATCCGGCCCAAAGGATGCTGAAAGTGAAGTTAGTTCATCAGTCAAGAATATTGCAATCAAGAATAATTCTGAACACACGCTTTGACAATTTTTGCTATATTAAGTGAACCCTCCACCCCCCAATCAATTACTCCATACAAAAGAAGGGATTCTACTTTTTGCATTTTACAGCCATAGCTGAAGCAAGATAGCCAAGACAATGGTACATGCCCTGCTCAGCCACATATAATACAGCTGACAAATCTTTTCCCTACCAAAGGCTTAGACTCTAAACAGATGTATCTCCCATTTTCTTTATTCCTTAAAAAAAAAAAAAAAAAAAGCCTTTTTAACTCTCAAATTCAAGAGAACATAATAAAATCCAAACTGACAGAGTAAACCCTGTCAAACCCTACAGAAAACAAGCACTTTAGGGATGCTTGCATCATTCTTGTCAAAGCCCATAAGCATATGGATTGATCTTCAAACATGCAACTAAGGCGCCTAAATGCAGAGTCCAGCTGCTTTAGCTCCCTCTGTAGTCAATAGCTAGACCCCTTCAAAGTGCATTTCAAATTCCAAGGCAGTTATCTCTTTCTGCTGACTACAGACAGAGGCTCAGCTGTATGCTTAGTTACAGACCTTGGCTCTGATTCTTCACACCTACAGAATACCTCATCAGGGAAACATCACAAGCTGCTCTTGGCTTGGAGGAGAGTTTGCTATTTATTGGGCATGTTCACTATACTATTTCATAGATAGTTAAAATAACCTAAGTGACAGGAAGAAGGATAGCTGCATTTCAAGGAACATTAAGAAACAGGTACGACCACGGGAAATTTATTTTTTAAAAAATTTCCACAATTTAAAGTAAACATTGCCCAGTACTGATATTTGAGCTACATCTATCTCAATGATAGAACAGATATTGCAGGGGTAAGGGAAGGCATTTAATAAGGATAGAATTTAATATTGCTGTAGGTGATAATGTATTAAAAGCTGACCCTTTCTCAGAATGACAGTGGAACAAGTCTAGAAGGTTTCTAAGAACACAATCTGGAAAATAACTCAAAGCTGCTTTCTTGTAGACAAAAGCAGAATAGGAACCTTTTTCTTGCTTAACTCAATTTTTTTTTTGCCTATCTTTTATTACAGTAGGCAGAGATTTTTCCCTCTCTCCTGGCAGGGAAAGAAAGTACATTGATATATTTTGGCAATGTCAACTATCAGCATATGGTCTTCCTCTGTTAGCAGGGAAGAAACTAAACTCAGGCATCTGGATTGGCATAGAAGACCCAAAAGGACCAGAGTTTGGGAAAGAAAGTGTTCTGCCAACAAACAAGCAAGTGTTTAATGGTAAACTGCTTAAGTGAGTCAGAAAAACCTTCTTGAAAGCAGTCTTTAAAAGGACCTGGAAATATTTCAGTACACACTGCAAGAGCAGGCTAAAGAGACCAGAAGGTTCACCTCAGTGAGAGATGAACCTTTGATTTGTTTCATTAGCCAGACAATAACTTAGGTTTCTGTGAGAACCACTGAAAAAGCACCAGTTTCAGCTATAATGTGGAGCTGCAAGGAAACAATGGCTGCAAGTAAGACAGTCCATAATTACAGCTGTGCTTCTGCAATATAGAAGGCTTGCCCACTCCAATTCTTTATCATGTTAAATGTTAGTTATTATTTTGTCTAAAACTTAAGACATCTAGATACAGTCTGCTTATTAAGCTGTACAAGTCTGATCAATTTCAATTAAATAATTAGTCATTTGACAAACAATGGAAAGACACAATGGAAAACCTTAAGACTAAAGGTGAAATTAAGTATCAATCTTCCTTTCCCCTTTCCCCCTAACGTGGTCATTTTCTAGGTTTGCCCTGATACAGGTCAGAATTATGATGACACATCCCCTTCCACTCCCCGAGGAAGCAGAGTTTGAATCTCATGCTTTAAATATACTTACCCGTTTGAAGCTTAAATGTTACTGTCATTAAAAATGAACAGCTACTTGCGTAGGATACTACAGAAGTTTAGACTTTATAAAACAACATTACCTTTCGTTTTTCATCATCAGGGTATGTCCAGTAAGATACACAGTTTCCAGACAGCACACACCAGCGCCTATGCCATGCTCCAAATCCACTAACATCTTCAAACATAGTCTTAAAATAAAATTAAAAAAAAAGAAAAAAAGGATAACAATAAACCTTGAGCTTGGTCTGTACTCAACTATTTTCCTATCAGAATGGTTCTGCAAGTACAATCCTTCATAGGAGTAAACATAAAAGAAGGAAACTATACATACTGTGAGAGACTTCCATTAGTGCAGTATATTTATTTTCCAGATAGCATAGAAAATAGGCTTATGCCATCATTCTCAAGTTTGCAGCCTTTTACGCAAAATGCACCTATCACTGCTATTTCAAATTACCAGATTTTCATGTTGACAGAGGTAAGCACTCCCATTATTTTAAGATAAACGGAGGGTTACTTGCAGAAGATACAGGATGAATAGTTCACAAAACACATTAGTATAACATAATTTATTATGATTAGGTATTTATGTCATCTTTGACTTATAATTCAGGATTACAAAATGTCTGGCTTTTCTACAGGCCACACTCAGGAGTCCAGTCTGTTTAAATAAATTGGAAATTGATTTTTAAACATTTGTGTTGGCCGTTATTTTACTGGATGAAGGATTATGCCAATTTCAAGCCCCATCTCCTTAGCAGTGGAATGGAAAGCTTAGCAGCATCTCACTTCTATTCCAAATCCTTCTTGGACCTGTACAGAACTTTTTTTTCCAATCAATTTTTGTGTTGTGTTTTTCACTCTTCACAATTCAGATTAAAAATTTCAATGGTGCAGGGAGCTTCCACACCCTTATTCTGAAAAATGTAATATGTATGTACAACATTGTTCAGGTTTTACATATTGTATAGTAGAAGTAAACAAGCACTTTCTTAAATTAGTACACAAAAACACAGGATAGCAAATACCATACACGTGTGAAATGTTTGCATCTAATGAAATCTGTTCAACTTCAATTAAGTAAAGGGAAAGGAGACAAAGAATTGCTTGAAAAGAGTCTAAAAAAATTCTGATTTCTGAAAACACCAAAATAACAGCAAACGTTGTTTTACTGAAGTATTTTCCCAGCACATTTGCTGCCATCTGCTGGACAATCTCAACAGCTCCATCTATTAGGCCCAAGTAGCAGCTGCATCTATTACACCCAAGAGAACTGCTTAAGACATTTCTCAAAAAAATACTATTGCTTCCTTTAAGTCAAAGTCTGTGAACACAGTGGGGGGCAGGGAATCTTTTGCTATGGAGAATTTATTTTCACTAGACAAAAAAATAATCCAAGAAGTCCTGTAAAATTTTCTGCCAGAAAAATTAGAATCTCATGTCATATCACAGGTTACAGCAAGAGAAGGTTAACTGAAGTTCAGAATAACAAATGAACAGTGTTTAAAATAAAAAGATATACTCATTCCTAATCGGTAGCTTTAATTTAGGCACATTTAGAAAATAAACTAGGAAAGTTCTGAGGTCTGGTTCAGAGAGGGAAAAAAAGAAAAAGCAAAAGCCAGTTTTAAGCTTCACAACCACTACAAATACATGTGTGAAGTTAGAAAAGTGACTGCATTTGATAGGACCTGTAATTTCCAAGAAAGGAATCTGAAGTGAATACCTTACCAAGAACCCTTTCTCCTCCACAGACGAATCCACTTGGCATTTTAACTTCAGATATATATGACCTTCCAAAGGAGACAAAACAGGAACCTGTAAAAAGCGAAACAATTAGTCATTTAATATTGACACCTTTCAACTCTACCAGTTCAAGCAAGCCACCTGCACCAGGATGTTAGCACTGTTTTGTTCTTAGGATCTTCAGCCAGAAAGCAGCAGTCAGTCTCAAGCAAGACAGTCATAATCGCTTTTTGCTTCAAGTTCATTTAGAAGCTTTTCAAGACTTCTTTGCTTATTAGTTTGCTCAGGATGTATGCACAGACATGCTTCTATCTAGAAAAACAGACACTCCAAGCACAGTTAAAAACAACACAAGGCACCAGTCCACATCCTGCAAAGCTTCTGCCTCAGTTTGACATTAAGCTGTTTGGAAAATATTAAAGTGGGCTTAGACAGGATTGGTACTTGTCTGCCTTAAGAATTTTTGGCAGATACTGATGTAGTAGTGCCTACTCAGATAAATATTTGCATAAAAAAACCTAGAAGGGGAAAAAGTAATGAAAGAAGTTCTTCCCAACTGGCACTCAAGGTGTTGAAGACCCATGTTAAGTCATTACTAACAGAAGAGGTTCCAAGCCTTATCTTCTACCACTGAAAAAAAAAGCAGCTTAACTACTGCACCAGAGAGTGGTTAAATAGTTATTCAAGAGTTCTAAGGAAGAGCATGTGACACAGACTACCTTTGGACTTCCCCCAATCCCTCCACACAAAGCACCCTATTACATTGAGTGCTCCCGCCACTACTGTCAGGAAATCACATCCCTTTTTTTTTCCACAGGGAAGTTGAAACAAATTGCTAATTCAACAAGCAAATTATGACCTGCAGGGCATTCGGCATACCATATTTTGTTGCTAATCTGAAAAAGCAATACTGTAAGAATCTTGCAAAAAAAGGAAATCAGAAACAGTGGTGTTTTGTCTTACTAGAAAAAAAAGAAAGGTTGATGGTGCAGTTCAAATACAAAGTAAGAACCGTCTGCCAGGGAATAGGCATGTGTACACAATAATGAAGTGGCTTTTAGACATGGAATCGGTGTCAGTTAAGAGGAATTGAATTTTGCTAGGAGTTAAGATAAACATGAGTAACTGTCAGCAGTTAAAAGCATACATCTGTAGGCCTCAGTGAACCCTGCAGAACACCAAATAGATGCTATGGATAGCAATTTATTGCCTTTGAATTGTAGGCATACTGCAGCTTCCTCCCAGACACACGATACACATGTGCACAAGGTGGTGATCATTTTTACATGTTGGATCTACTCAAGCAGACAGCATGCGTGGCTTAGGCCATGGGTTTTGGCCCTAAGGTATAGCACAGCAAAGTTTTGAGCACCAGGTAGGAGTCTGCATGACTATTTGAGAGGCAAAAATAGTAAAGTGTTTCCACATAATAGAAATAAGCTGCATCAGTCCTGGATTTTTAATCAGAGAACTATAACCCTACATGCTACACCAGAGAACACTGGCTTATACCAAAGTAAAATCCATTTCTAAATGAGGGCCTCAAAGTATGGCCAACTCCCTACTTAAAGTTTGCATTTTTTGCATTAGGACAGAAGAATCTAGTTTGTGGATTGTGAAGTTAACCAGTGAAGAGCTGTGTAACACAAAGCGGCTGTATAACAAATGGAACGTACCAGTTACGCAGAGCCTACAACATTACTAATTACTAAAGCAGGTTTCAAACAACCCTCCTGTACACATAATGAGAAAATATGACATTTTAGTCAACAATATGTCCCTTTCAAAGGCAAGTGGGCTGGAGGTGGTAGAAAGAAAGTAACCTGCTGAATGTCCAGCTAGATGAAAAAAAAAAAAAAAACAAACTAAAGCCCATGACTAGGCTACCTTGCACTGTGGTGTGGTCACTTATATACCAGAAGAAGCTGGCTTATTGTCAGAAGATTATCTGTAAAGATGCTCAAGGTAACTCAAGAATTTGAAAAAAAAAAAAAAAAATTGTTTCCTAGGAGACTTGTAATTACAAATAGGAGATGATAGGTACCTAAAATTATCACCTGCTTAATTTTGAGAGAAAACAAAGTTATCTAAAACACTTTATTCTGAGGGATCTGAGTTAGCTATTAACTGAATAAAACTATTTTCAAAGATTAAAGATCAATTATTTCTTTAAGCATATCAATTTACATAATTCCTAGAGCCAAAAATGTATACACCAAGCAAAATATTTTAATTGCACATTTGTGTACAAAGTGCTTCATTTTGTTATGTTTAGTACTTTCAAAACTTTAGTTCATTACGATCACTTTTTGCTTAAAAAAAATGAAGGTCTTGACAGAATATGAAACAAGATATTTAGTTCCTAAGTGATTTTAATTTTCTTCAGTGGCAACAAGTTAAACCAGTATTTAGTCCACCTGTCATTTTTCCCTCGTCCTCTATCAGCAGAGGTGTCAATTCTATGTTCTGTGGGGTTCATCAAGAAGTTGGCTCAAATTTCCTGACTAGCAATCTTTGAGACACTTCAATTTGCTTTAAAGCAAGAAAATCCCTCCTTTAGTGGTCTAGAAAGCCAAGAGACATGTTAATTAAGAAAAACAACCTAGGTGGCCTAAATAACTTCTAGCAGGGTTCTTGTCATTGTAAAAGAGTAGAATGCTGCAAGTCTTAAAGGCTTTTAACATGTTTAGTTAGTAAATCTTTGTAAATATTTTTTTTAGAAGAATTAAAAAAAAAAAAATTAAACAGCCACACAGACATAAGCAACATGCATTAGGAAGCAGTTTCCTATTTTAAGTTATAAACTAAAGGCTCATAGCAACCTTGTCCTGGAACATATAGCTCAACAGTTCTTTTTCCTCCCCTTCAAAATTTATCTAGGGAAAAAAGAAACATGCTCAATGCAATTAGTGTAAATTAATACATTTTGGTCCTTTCTACTCTGAATTTTAATGGTGTATATAAAAGAGAGGAATGAAACTTGAAAAAAAATCCAGTGGCAGCAGTTTGTTCCATATTAGAAACACATGGAGCAAGTTAAAAAGCAGCTGTTTGGTACAGCCACAGGCCAAGTCAAAACTGAAGCTCTATAGAGGTGATAATTTAACAAAAATAAAAGAAGTTCTGACAAAAAAGGGAAATTCTTATTCATAACTTTTGAAGCTTGCACCTGGAAAAAATTAACCAAGTGATGGTTTCCCTGGAATTCTATTTGAACCTTGTGTTTGTGCTACAGTCTACTAGTCCAGTCCAGTGTCCTGTTTTAAAGAGGTTCAAACCCAAATTGATGAATATAATGTAAAAGCTGATTCCCAACTCCAAGAACAAGGCGTTTCCAATAACCAAGCCATATACAAAGTAAGATTTCTATCTACATCTAGTTCTGGTTAAGCATTTATGCTGAAGAATAAAAGCTGGTACTTCTGAAGTTCACACAGTCAGTAACAGAAGTGCAATTCAACTGTTAAGTTCTGCAAACTGTTTCAGTACAGGAGTCTGCTTGTATCTGCAAAAAGTAAAACTTTTAAAAAGCAAGTTGGGATTATTGTGGTATTTTGGTTTTAATCTTATGCACAAACACAACCAATTCTTGTTATCTCATCTCTCATCAGAAGCTATAATTGCAATGCTACTGTCATCACAGTAAGACTTAATTAGCCAAGAAGAAAATCTATTCTTATGTTGATGTTTGGATAAAGCTGTAATTTGGTACTACTATAAGCAGTAGTAACTTTTGAATTAATTTAAGTTAGCTTAGTATAGCTGCTGGTATAAACACCTATTAAAATAGGTTTTTGGTATAAGATATTACAAGGTTAGAGATTATAATGAATATAAGAATGTATTTAATTTCTAATGGTATAAAGCCAATAAGTAAATTCTGTTTACACAAAAAAACTAACAGTACAGAACTCAATAACAGATCTCAAAATATTAAAATAGTTTGCTTCTATGATTTAATTAGGATATTAAAGGAAAGTCATACTCCTAACTGTATCAAAACAGCAATTTTAAATCAATTAAATGCAGAAAATTTCAAATACTTCATTAAAACAGTGTCTTATTGATAACTGCAAGACTGTAACAGTAACAAAGTTTATGAAGACCATGCAGAGATGCCAACTGCATATATCAATTTTTGTCGGTGAAAGCAGTTCAGTAACCAAATGCCTTCATTTTCTTCGCATAACCATACCTTACATTGAGCTACAGAAAAGAAAGAACATCTAGCGTATTAACATAAGTCTGTTGTATCTCAAAATTATGTTTCTGTCCTATGAAATTAAATAGGAGTAACAGCTACTATACATAGTTTTAATATATATATTAATAACATATATATAAACCCATGTGATTCATTTCTAGGGCGGTCATTTTGCCTGAGAACAGTCAATCCAGACTCATATTTGTTTTTCTAGTAGTATGCAATTAGTTTTGGATCAGTAACCAATAATTTCCATTACCTTGTCCAATGCAAATTTGGCATTCCCTACAGAAGACAGCGATAACTTGTGGGATCCAACAAGGATGAAATTAGTAGTGCGTACAGCATTAGGACCACCTGGACTGGCCATGGCTGTGGAGAAAGAAGCTAAAGTCAAGTTGTAACACAACACACAATCAGGATGCTGCAAGGCTTAAAAAGGCTTTTTTTGTACTACTGTATGCATGCCGTACTCAGTACTCCATGAGCAGCACTCTTTGCAGAGCAGCCCAGCAGCATATTTAGACAGGATCTCGATTCCTCCTGAGTAGATCTTTTTAAGTCATCTCAGGGGGGCAGAGAGCACACCAGGGCACACTGCAAAGCTCACATGCCCTGCAGTAGGAACTTGAGTTTCAAATCTCAACCTCTTCAAGTGGCACACTGCAGTCTTCTAGAATTTGTATGCCTGTATTCCTCTTTGCACTTATACCAATAGGAACAAGCACTATAGCTCAGGCACAGGAATCTGCCTAGTTGCAGCAGCACAGTAGACATTCCAGAGTTAGTTCATGAGCTCTTTATTGCTGCTATTTGTACCAAAGCTAGTTCAAGTATCTTATACCATAGTCAGACAAGGGCATAACACATTTTCATGTAGTTCAAAAAACTCAGAGATGCTGTTCTCCTCCCTCAAGAGTCAGAAATACATAAACATGTTAAACACGACACACAAGCAATACCTTCAGAATCTGTTCATATTTTCAAGTTTGCTCTGTATGACTCTGTTGACAGACTAGTTTAGAATCTTAAAATTAATTTGAGTTCACCTTTTCAGGAAAATAATGTAAGCCACAGGCATCTGATACCAGATACTAATTTTGAAGACATCTTCCATTGGACATAAAGGTAACTCAGATATAAACACAGGGCCAGTTTCTGGGCTGGCAAACTGACACAATTCTGTTTATTACTCCCAAAGTATCATCTGTAATAAGTTTTATTTATTGATATACTGCTTTACACAGCAAGTGTAGATTATTCATCTTCGCATAAGATGTTTAGATTTTACTTACCTGGAGTAAGAAGGGTGCTTTTCTAGAAAAAGAGAAAAAAATAAAAGCTTAGTGGAAAACTAATTTTTTATAATTTCTACAGAATACTAAATTAAATTAGAAACTGAAGTACTTTAAAAACAAACTGATTGAAAAGAAAGTCCAACTAAATGTGTAGTAACTGCTTGTTTCCAGCATTAGGTATTTAGAGCTGTTACCTATTTCTTGAGCTGATGGCTCTAGAGTTTGACAGAATGCTGGACAGTTTATAGAATTTCAAGTAAGGGACCCGAAGAGCCTACAATGGGCACAGCCTTATTCAGGGTGAGAATATGGTCTTTCAAAGTGCTCATAAGCAGATCTTGTTACAATATTACATTCATACTTACAGAGGTAATAGATGTTAATAATCTCTTTGGAGTAATAACCTAAAAAAGAATATAAGAAGATAAATGCATTTGCCACTGAATTTGTCCATCACATTAGCCTGAATGTTAGACAGTGAAACTACTGAAGACTTATGTAAATAAATTTTGAATAGATACTAGTTGTAATGAGTAAGTCTTGCTTTTTGACTAGATGTAATGTATTTCAATGGAAGGAATGCTAAACATCAAAGAAATATTAACTGCAGAAAAGTTTGTGTATGCGTTAGCTGGGAATGGACAGCAGGTGTTTCAAAAAAACCCTCAATCTTAGTAGACCTTTTCATGTAACAGAGCTTCAATTTGCTTGTTAAAGATGAGCTAAGAAAACAAGTACTGGGAGGTTCTATGTGCTACTGTAGTAACTTATCTATATTTTCAGGTGAAAATCTCAAAGTTTAAGTGAGAGTGTATATGAAACATGAACTAGAATTATGTACTTATTCTTGAAGCTGAAAGACAAGTGCAAGAAGCTTGTCAAAAATGAGATACAGGATGCCATCAGCAAACTTATAAACCCACATCAGCAACTTACAGTGCCACAAAAACATTGAATTTTAAGTAAAGATTCCTCTAAACTACAGCACAGGAGAGAAGGAAACCCTATACTGCAAACTGGTTTTATTGGGGGGTAGATGGAAGCATGCTTTCAGTATGCCAAATGAAAGTAAAGACAGAAAAAAGTTCCTATTTTTGTTTGCAGAAACAGGATTTAAGTACTCAGTCCAACTGTTTTGAAATACACTCGTGTCTTGCATTCATTAAGTAAAAGATATCTTGACAAGGAAGAAATCTGACCTAAAATCATTAATACACCTCATGTCCAGCTTTTGGAATGACAACCAAAAAAAAAAAAACCACTGCCACAGAAAACCCACCTCCAGAAAGCCACTGGCTTGTCTGGGGTCACAAAGCCTTAATAAAACACAGACACTTGAAATTTGCTCCCTATCCAAGCCGAAACATTGATGTCCAAGGAGTTGTTAAAACAATATTTGCTTTAAAAATAATCTAGTGATTTTACTTAACACTGAGAAGAGAAGCGTCACAGCTGATCAACAGAACCTTTAAGACCTATCAAACCGCAGGGTAGGGCATATTGACTGGTGCAGTTAAAATAAAGTGAATAAGGGCACTAAATCACTATCAGAGTCACCACACCTAATACATAAAAGTTTGCAAAGTATAGCATTTTGCAGAACCTGTAAGACTTCTTCTCCTTCCCCTCCAATGTGTTTCAGACTCAACCAAGTGCTGCGGGTCCAGTCTATAGCTAATAGCTCCAAGACTCCATAACCCATCTGTTACTGCAGATGTTCCAAAAAACAGCAAGAACAAAAGCAACCAAAAGATATTCTAAGACTATTAGTCAGTTCTCTCTGAACTCCCAGTCTTCTGTTGAAATACAACATACTGATTTTCATGTTTTGTTTACCTTAGATTTATTTGCCTTTTTCCTTTTATCAGAGCTTGTAACTTCTTTTCTCTGCACCTGTAAGGCAAGAATGTATTAAGAAAGTACAACACATCATTCTCCCTTACACATCCTCTTGCCAGGAACTGATACATACCAAGCTGTAAACTTCTAGATTTATTTCAAACTCATTTGACACATCATGCCTGAAAGGGAGGAAGGGAAAAAATAAGTTAAATGCAGACTGAAGCAGAAAGGTTTTAGTTTTTTAGTTACTCTTAATAAAGTTACTCTTTACTTCTTCCCTCCTTCCACTGCTTAAAAATGTCCCAAGAGCAGCTAGGTTCTACACAAGAGAAGCTTAACCATAGTGCTAACTAAGAGCTAATCTCTTACTAGTAAGTCACAGTGTTGTTCCTGCAGGCCAATTGGGCTGTTTGAAATCCTTTCACTTCTACAGTGGTACTCTTCAGTGCAAGCAGCATTGCTGGTTTTAAGACTTGAGCATATTTTTATTTCAAGATACTTTCTATAATGCAAAGAACAAAAGGGGAGGGAGGACAAGGGGCAGATGGAATACATCTACCATTTCTCAGATTGCACCCTGCATTCCACTGCTGGCAGACATTTCTAAAAACAGAGAATAGGTTTTTTTGAGTAAATAGCTTTAAGTGAAAATTCCAGTTGGATTGAACTTTAAAAAGGGAGTTTCCCTATATATTTTGGAAGACTTTTGCTAACAAACAGCCATGTTGAACTCACAACACCTTTTTGGCTAACATATGAGAGTTGAAGTTTTAGTTTTACGAGTACTACTTTTTCCAGATACCAAATCCAAATAGCTATATAATATGTTAGTTGCTGAAAAGAGAAACACACATCATCTCAGGCAGAGCAATCTACCTGTCATTGCAAGTGTTCCAGGAGAGAACAAAAGTAGAAAAAGCAAGAGATAAATTAGCTGATGGATGATAGAGTAAGTCTAGATTGCTCTTTTCTCAAAAGAGCATTCGAGCTATTTCTTGAAGCAGGAAATACCCATACCACAAGATCTTACTATATTTGTTTGTAGAATATGACATCCTTAGATGAATGAATATTATAAATGTTTTTATGCATGCTCCACCAGAGTTGAAACTGATTCTGAAACAGTTTCTTTATACTTACATAGTAAATGTCGTAGTAAAAGTAAGAGCATCTCCATTCAGGGAGCTGGCAGTACTTGCTAATGGGGTTGCAACCATGTTTTCTGCTCCAGATCGCAGTATTATTACATAGTAGTAGTTTGCTGCGTCTGCAAATACATATCAGATGGTTTTATTAGCCCGATGTGTCCAACTACCTAAAAACCCTCAAGTACTGCATTGTCATTAAAACACATCTCTGTTTCACTCCACTTAAACACTTGATTACAGTCAAGGTTTGCTTATAAGCTTACTCTTAAAACAAGTTTTTTTCCCTACTATGTCCACTAGTAAGACAGTCTCCACAGGATTCACAACTGCATTACTGTCTGTGGCAACTCAGGCCAGACCGACACTACCCAGTGTACAAGAAGGGAGAGGAAGAACTTTCAGTCAGATTCAGCAGATGATCTTAGTTCCTTACACACTGTTGTTATTCTCTAGGCCTGCCAGCTTAACTATGCATCAGCTTTTGCTACTGCCAGTTCTCATGCTTCTTTCAGTCCTACGAAGGAACCCGTTATCCAGGAAACTCATTTCCCTAACTTTTCACATGAGGGGAAAAAAAATAAGACCACAAGCACACATCTCAAGAGCATCAGGAGATAATTTGGAGTTTGTGCAGCAAATCACTGAACAGTAAAACAAAAGAATGGCATATCATCATACCACATTAAAAAAAAAAAAAAAAAAAAAACACGACAAAAAAACCCCACACCCAAACCAGATTGAGTGATCTCTTGTATATGACAAGTCACAGCTGTCAGAACAACTGAAGACTGCAATAAGCATTGATTTGTACTCTTTATATTTGATGTTCTCTTCAGAGATGAAATAAAGCTTCCAGTGCAAAATGTATAGCAAATGCTGCATTTCCAGAATAAAGTTTTGACACCAAATAGTTCATAGTTGTTCGTTTAGACAATTTGGGTTTGGGAATTACTGATAGAGACTAAACATATTTTTGTAACCATTAGGGAGGCTTTCCTATAACACAGGTGAATTATCTCATGCAACAAGAACTGTAACGTGTCAGGAGTGGGGTGGTGGTAAATTAGGTCAGATATTTACATTTATATTCTTGTCTGTGGTTTAATTTGAAGATATAAAGAAACACACTTTACATTCCATAGGACAGTTAAACAAGAAAGTCTACATATGAATTCATTAGTAGAAGTTTTACAACCAATATTAACAAGACTTTGTCCAATTACTTTTGTCCTCAAGTTTTAGTGAGGCAAGAAGCAGGAACCTGTTCAGCTACAATCATATTCTGTGGCATTAGATAAAATAGCACTGGCTATTGTGGGCTTGCAGATTCTTTAAAACAACCACATGACAGAAGCTTACTATGCTCCAGGATAAGTCTCTAGAGCTACAGAGATATTGCCAGATCTTCTTCTGGAACAAATCCACATTTTAACACTTTAATGTCTTGAATATGACAAGATAATGGAAGGCTAGTCTTTGTAAATTAAGTATTTTGGGCTGTTAACAGGAGGACTGAAAAAAAGAAGCTTAATGAGGCATTTCATGACACCAGAGGTAAGAATTTATGTAATGATATTTAGTACTAGGCTTGCATACATCAAAAAAAATCCAAGGCAGAAAGAGAACACAACCTGAGATACAAAATTCTACTTCTTCCCCAACAGGTTAGAGGACCAAAGATCTTCAAGGCTGGCTGGGAAAGTCTCAATAAGTTTCTTGAACCTCATAAGCTAGAAAAGGTTGCAAGTAAAACCACGGAAAATATTGAAAAGCTTAGCCAAAGAGCAGATCAATTAAATGTTATGGCTAAATTTTCATTGCCCCCACAGTTCTGAGAAACCAATGCAGAAGACAAAAAATAAGGAGAATAAACCAGAAATATATGTAGGGAAGATGGGGGAAGGAAGGGGTAGAGCTTTCCAATTGCTAGTTTTACCTGGTCTTTGAACTGTACCACATACGAAGTCTGCTTTTAGAGGTAGACGCATTTCTGAAATGGAAACAGATCCCCTGGATGGAGCAAATTCAGTGGGTGTAGAAGCAGCTTTGTTTCTTTTACTATGAGGTCCCTCACTCTTCAGTTTATTCAGTTCTTCCAATAAAGCAGTTCTCTTCTCAGCTGCGTAGAGAAGTTATAGTTGTAACAGAAGAAAAAGTAGCACTGAACAATTTTTTTTTTTTTGGCCATAAGTATGTAAAATGCAACAGAAATCTTAATCATCTTCCAGAATAGCAAGAATATTAGGGACAAGATAGATACCAAAAATGTCCTCTTGCCTATAGAAGCAGCTGACACTGAACAGGTATTATCCTCACCCTGTTTTCCAGGTAGCAAACTATAAGTAAGCAGTTACAAGGTAGCAAAACAAATGCATTGCCAAATGTTCTTCCCAAAGTGTTTATGACAAAGAATTGAACTTGAGTCTAAAAACCTACTTGCAAGGAGAAGTAGTCTCTCAGCTTCTGCTTCTTCTTGTGACCCTTTCCCATGTTCCTCATCAAAACAGCAGTTCAGAGCTTGACTGGCCTGATAAATCACTGTCTGCTGCATGTTGATCTCATTATTCAGCTCCTAGAGTAAACAATAGTAACAATAATTGGCAAGAAGAGATATTTAGTGTTATATTCAATCAAGCAAATGTCTTGATAGTAGCATTTTTGGGGCTACGCGTCAGAAAAATCAGACTTTTTTTCTGATAGTCAGAGGCAACTACAAAAATGTTGCCGTTTACGGTTACTTCTGCAAAAGAATATTGTAGCACAATTTTTTTTTACCTCAGAGGTAATTTAAATATGGTGGGGAGTGATTGACTTCAATGTTTGTATGCTTTTTATCCAGTCATCTTCTCTTCACAAGGGGAAGCAGCAGTTAACCAGAAGTTCAGCAATGTACGTGAACAAGGCACCAGTAAATCAGAACACTGGCTACTGAAAGTACGTAGTTATGTATCCTGCCTAATTCAAAGGCAGTAATAAGATATAGATTCCCCACCCTTCTCAAAACAATGGCTTGTTCTCTCCACTTACTCTATAGCATGATTCCAAGAGATGCATTAGCTGTTCAAATCATGCAATATCATTCCCTACAGTTAGACATCTAATGCTAAACAACCTAATTTTGCAGTTTTAAGCAGTATGTTAATGTCCTGGACAGTCACAGGGGAAATTAAGCGAGGAAATCATAAAATTAAAAAATAATTTTAAGCACATTAGATACCTGCATTTTCTTTTTGATATTGACTTGATCAGATAGGCCATTCTTTTTCATTTCCAGTTTGGAAGCAACATCTTCTTTACGAACAATGACTTGCTTTATTGAAGGACGATCGGTTTCTTTAAATCTTTGAGATCTATATGCATCAATGCTTTCAAAAGAGAAAACCCCATTAAATGTTTCACAGGTGTGCCAAGCTTTTTTTAAGATACATACATATGTATAAGGTATTGATGTTTTCCAACTTGCCTAAATGGCTTTTTCAAAAAGCTTTCTATCAGCTCATTTTAATTTTAGTCAACATAAAGACTACACAGAGACAATTTCTGATAAAGATCAAGATCTTGGGGAAAAAAGCTTTGTAGTTTAAGCAGTATGCTTCATGCGAAGAGTTAAAAGAAGTCAGTGTCTTAATTTGCACACTTACAGAATCAGGTGTGGGTTTTGTGTTTATTACCTATAGGGAAGGTTGCGATCTTCTGACATAGAGCCAATACTGTCTACAGATTCTGCCCTGGGGACTTTAGTCCTTTGGAACTTTTCAGACTTCAGACTTACATCACTGATGCTGCTACCTTCACCAGTTGACTTACAAGGAGAAACAAAGGCCTGGGGAGAAGAAAAGGTTCTATTACAGGTATCTGCCCCCATTAATCATTATCTGTTTTCTCTCACCTTTACTTATTTTGCATATAAACAGTAAATTTGGGGGCTGCTTAATACTAATTAAGAGACATTTCACAATTATTTCCTAGGCCATGGAGCAAGCTAATTGTTTATTTATTCTAAAGACACCAACAGATCATTGAACTCGGGGAGATTTCACCCATAGTTTCCAAACTGGTACATTTACGTAATCACTTCTTTCCAGATTTTCTTCCGTAACGACTTCACTGAATGCATGTATATCACTGGAAGTCCAGCACAAGTAATGGATGTATATACTCAAGCTTGATTTAGCAGAAGTTAAACCACTTGTTTAGCAGAGCATCCAATCTGCTATGCTATTTTCAGAGAAAAATAACTTTACCTCATGTTTTCATTAGCAAAATGTCATTTGTAACTGTTCAGGTATGACAATAGAGCCAAATATCACTGTTCACAAGAGAAGCATACATCTGTGTGCTAAACAAGCCCTTCCCCACCTCTTAAGAACTCTCACCTCTGGACCAACAGATTCCACTAGAGGAGTTAACAGAGACATTGATGAAATATTCAGTGAATCTTCCTGCTCGTCCTCATCACTTTCACCTTCCAGGCTTATGCTCATTTCTTTCTTCAGCTTTTCTATGTCTGGACCATCCTCTTGAAGAACTTCAAAAATTTCATTTATCACTTTTGAGCTATTCATCTCATCATCCACACTCATTTTGATTTCATATACTTCCTCTGGAGGGGTATATTTTAAAAATATTAGTAGCATCAAGACTAAAGTTCATTCTTATTAAATGAACATAAATATGATAACAGGTAAGCCAACTATTTTTGCTTTTCAAGTGATCTTGATTAAAAAGCACTTATAGTCAGGCATATAGAACCCTAAAGCGTACTTCCATCCTTATTTTAATATACTATTATCACATATACTGCATAACTGATACAGAGAGAGAATAAAAAGATAAACTTGTTAGACAAACTTCAACATTTTAGTTCCAACAGGTCTGAAACTTAACTGCAAGCCCCATAGTAGAGAAGTCATTTCTGTCCTTTCTCAATAAGCTTTTAATATTCCTTGAAGACTTCAATGTCAAAAGAGTTATGACAAAAGACATTTCCTGATTTGTTTTATATAAACTTCACAACAAAACACACGAGTGTCAGCAGTTGTATGATGAATTCATTATTCAGACTTGAAGGATATTAACACTCCACTGGACAAGAGGCAACAGATAGCTAAGTACATTAATATACATCTAGTCAATACAAACCTTTTGGTTTCTCAGCAAGCTGTTCAAGTTTTGAGACAGACATCGCTTTTAGAGGGCTCTTCAACTCAGTGATCTTCAGAGGACTGGGTTTATCAGTCTCTTCACATTTAGAAGCCTCTAGGTAGTTTATAAAAATAGAAGTCACTGAAGATGGTTTAGCCTTTGAATTTTTTTTTTTTTGTTATTGAATTGTGGAAGTTTGATAATATAACTGACAACTTACAAAAAGCCCACTAGATTAAGTATTTCAGTTAGCTTGCTGTCAAAAAAAAAAAAAAGGCATTACAATACATACCCTCCACAACCTGTATGCTATACTTCAATCTTATAATCAAGAAAACTGATAGCACAAAAATCCCATGCTGAAACCATAGTAAAGTACAGTCACTCAAGAGCAAAAAGGGAAAATTAAAACAAAACCACCAAAAACCCACAACCACCCACCACATAAAAACCAGCATGGCATCATCCTGTTTTTCTGGAAGCACATTCGATAACCTGGTTTGCCCATAATGTCTATAGGAAGCATTAAGTTTACTCTTTTTTTCACAAAGAACTGGAGGCTCTTCCGCTCAGTAAGCACCAGAAAGGGTGTCACAAAGGCCTCTTAATTCTTTCCATATCCCCTACTATAAGAATGAATATCATAAGGGGACAGTGACAAGGGAAGAGTTCCCTCCCATTAGATTATTGTGGAAATTTGGATACTCAAGTACAGTATAGATTAAATCGATAACTGACGGTTCTCATTCACTCTGCCTACACTTAACATATATGGAAGTATGAAGCCTAGATAAACACACTGAGAAACGAAAAGGCAGTCTGTCCTTGCCAATATTACATGTGGTATAGGAGTACATAGTATTATTATCTTATGAGAAGATTTAGACAAATCAGTAACCAAATAAGAGGTCCAGTTCTACAGGTCAGCGCTACCAGCCTCTAACTGCTCATGAACAAGAGCAGTGCTTCAGGCCAGCATTAGCCATAGGCAAACAGCGACAGTTCTTACCTGAAGACTCCACGCTGGGAGACTTTGCTGGCCTGTCACTTGCTGTTGTGTCTTCTGCTGATCCAAAAGCAGTGGCATCTGAACTAGAAGGATGGTTTGGACTAGCCCGAGATTTGCTTTCCTGCAAACATAAAAATATTGAACATTACCTCCTGAATGTACTAAGTGACTAAAAGAAGCTGCTAGAAACACATACATTTTAACACCTGCTAGGAAAAAGAGATTGTCTATCCAATATCAAGAAAGATCCTATTTATTTAAGAAAATTTAGTATTTAGTACTTCAGCTAAATGAGTGTGGGATAAGCTTTCCCTTGCTTTTAAAGTTACAGAATAAAAAAAAAAACACTTATCAAAAAAAAGAAATAAATCTACTGGCTTAAAGTAGTATCACTGGGCTCCTTAACTGATTCTGTAGGAAAAAAAAAAAATCTAATAATTTGTTAATAATCATACAAACCAGTCGACAAGCAGTCTTGCAGAGCCTGGGCATTCACAAAGCATAGGTTTTTATCTTTTATTTATATTTGCATATCTATCCCTGTGTTCAGAACATGGTAAAACAATTCACAGACTATCATATTTTGATACATGAAGGTAACGCATTACCATTTTAGCTTCTGGAAGTTTTCTCTTTGAACTTTCACTTTTCTCCGCACTCCACAGATTGCCCCTATCAAATCGGCCACGAAGGCATGCAAGTTCTCGTTCACGCTCCTAAGCAAATAAAAGGGAAAGCAGGGAAAGCTGACAGCTTTAAGATGTCAAAACATTTCAGATTCCTCAGGTAGGTGCAGAACAGTAAAAATCTTCCCTAAACTTATAAGCAAGCTATGAATGTAGCAAGTCATACCTGCTTAAGCTGAAGTGCTAAACTGGCAGTAGAGGAATTTTCATTTTGTTTGAGAAGCCTTTCCTGAATTGTCCTTGTATTTGGGGTAACAATGGGTGTTCTGCACCCTGGAGTATTTGTAGCAGGACTCCGTGCACTACGCTCCTGACAGCGCTCCCCAAAGCGTTCCAGGAAGGGCTTAATTCCCGATCCCCCTAGAAGAACAATTGTTTTGTCTTGAAAGAAACTCTTAAACACAGGAAAAAAAAAAAAAAAAAAAAAAAAAAAAATCACTGCAATTTCACATCCTGCTGAAATTTCTCAATAAAGCAATTAAGCTGTCTTCTTTACAACTCTTACTTTATACAAACTAAAGCTGAAGTACAAGTCACCACAGTAACAGAACACTGAAGTTAATAAAGCAGCAAATCAGAGCAAATAGATGTGGTTCTCTTACTAAAGTCCACATGTGACCCATCAGTTATTTAAACTGGTTTGCCTTTTCAACAATTCCTCTACAACCAGCCTCACTTGGATCTTTCATGTATGTCCTGGGTTTAAGCTCAAACTACAACAATGTAAATGAGCATCCTAGTACATAAGGTGGATACATTGTTCGGCATCCACCCCACTTTATTGAGCTTGTCTTTTACTGTCAGCATATTTAGAGGCACACACTTGATCTACTGGCCATCATTTCAAAGAGTTCAAGCTGTTAGTTCAAGTTTCTGACCCAGCAAGCAGTGCATTTTAAAACCGGGGATGATGACTTGTTTCGACATCAATGCTACCACTGAAAAGAAAGACACTATGCAAAGTTAGAGCATCTGTGTGGCATTTAGCTTTGATTTCTTTTAACATAGGCAGACTCTTTACCTTATAGCGATTAGATACACATAGTATCCAACAAGTTGAAAGAAGCTTTGAATAGTCTCAGTTAACTGATGGTAGCAAGATACCTTTTTACATAGTGAAAAGTTCATTGATTTTGCTTTCAAGAGTTACTAAAACCATGTCCAAGAAAACACCTTTGCAAAATACAGAAGCTGTACAATTTATAATTATCTCAGAACTCTTCAGGACTTTACGCAAGTTAGAGCAGAAAATAGGCATTATCTGATACGTTACCATAAATTCTTAACTAATAAGTATTTGTCAACACAGGACACAGAAGCTTAATTTGAATGAATGTTTACTGAAGCTGAGAAATAGCTTACCTGGTGTTGTGGGTTTACCCTTCGGTTCAAGTTGCACATGTGTTCCTTTGACTGGCTCTTCTTTGGACTGAACTGGTTGGGGAAAAGTTGATTTTGCTGTTTGTGCACGCTTTTCAGTTTTCTGAGGGCTGCAGGGATTCTCTGTTAGCTGTGGTTGTACTTCAGGTTCTTTAGAACAGGGAACAGTGACTCTTGAGGATTGTGTTAAATTGTTTGGATCCTTACAAGGGAAAAAGGAATAACATTAAGTGGAGAGAATAAGAATGTACAGTCTCCAGAGGAAAAAGAATGAGTGCCTTCTGCATAGCATACTATAACACACCTATCATCCATCAACAATAGAAAAAGCTGCAAACAAGTATTATAAGGTTTTTGCAGATTTTTTTTTTCCCCCCCAGTATTTCAAATTGTTTCAGTATTTGATTCCAGATGCTTTTGCCAGTTACTTTATGTATTTTCCCATATTTTCCTAAACATGGTTGCACATGGCAGATATTGTCATTTCATAAATGGCATAAATTGAACAATAGGTATCTGGTACTACTAATTTCTGCATTCTGATTGAATATTCACACAGCAATATTTACAATTAAATTAATCAACTATATGAAGTTAGAGTGAAACCCAATATCTCTAAGAAGCCTCCTTCTGATGGTCAAAAGAGCAGCCATCAACTACTTTGACATCAATTTTTACAAGACTTAAGTACACACATCTTTAAGTATCAATAAAAGGTATTCTAAGCTGTTTCATGTCCCCTATTAAAAAAAAGGGCATGTGGGATTGCAGCAAGGCAAAAGTTATAAATAGACTAAGACTGATCACACCAAATCTTTAAATTCAAATTAAACAGTTATGAGTTAACATTTGTCCCCCCGATACTCAAATTTTTAATCGGCAACTAAATCAGACACTCACCGCTATCTTTGAGTTTGCTGGTTTATTAATAGAAGCCTCAACAAGCCTTTGAGAACAGGATGCAGCTTCCTGCTTTACACTGCTACTATTGATTCTAGCAGATGCTCCACTTGTAGTGGACAATTTGGATAAACAAGTAGTGCCAGGCTGTTCTTGTGCATTGTTTTGCCTTGCAGATGGATGACTTAGGTCATCTTCCCAGGAACCAATTGTAGCAGCAAGGTTAGCTAAACGGCCTCTTCTCCCAATAGGGGTATCACTTGCCAGGGCATTAGATGTTTGCTTAGGTGGGGAAACAGACAGATCTTTTAACTGGGCAGGAGGCAGAGGAACATATTCAGAGGGATCTGGAAAAAAAGAAAAATACATGTATTTTGCTGATAAAATATAATGAGATATATTTACATCTTTTGCATTTTGCTATATGTTGAGTTTATCAACAGATGTTCTTGCCATCAACAGAATCAAGCTGTTAGCTCTGCAGGCATTGAGACTAAAGTTAAAATAAAGCCCATTGCAAAGTCAACACATTTTCAACCAAGCAGCTTACTAGTTTTATGTCAGCTTTGTCATGAGCAAGGCATCCCATTAGTAGGGGGGCAAAAAAAAAAAAACAAACCAACGTATACAATATAAGCTACAGTCAACAGTTTCACTATTTTAAGCCTTCCCCAGTGCTGTCTAATAATTCTTTATAAAAATATTAGCATTCACACACACAAACTTATCTTCTGCTACCAAACAATCATCAGTGCAGACACTGAACACCATCAATACTGCTTAGTGAGTGAAACATACCCTCGCTCTCCCAGCAGCGGCGCTGTTCGGCCAGTTTCTGCATACGTGTTTTGACTGAAAGGGCTGCAGGAGTTTCTGACTCGGTGTTTGTTTTTCCTTTCTCAAGAGGCTGAACCAATGAAGCCCTCGTAGAAGTAGTTACATGCAACTCTGAAGTCATCTCAGGAGAACGATGGCTTGTGGAACTTGAAGGAACTGGCTGTACATTCTCCAAACTAGAATTTTGAGTCTCCATATTGTTAGGGCAGAGCCTCTTTGATGGTGATGGCTTTGTACCAGGTTTCTCTGTACAGGCCAAAGTATTCAAGCAAATTAGTAATCAAACAATCTAAAATATTTTCAAAGACAATACAAAACAGTAATGCAAATAAAGTTATGACTTATTAATAGCCTGATATGCCTCCCAAAAAACTGCCCTTCCCAAATTCTACCAAGCTCAAGGCACTATCTTTGGCATATACAATAATTTTTAAATATCTTACTAATTACCTAGAGCACCTGCTCCTGGGTTAAGCTAAACATTAGTCATATTCAGCCCTAGTGGTCAGGTAACTGCATCCATCCCTCTTTAGTTTAAGATAAACACTAAGGGTTTTCACTTGCGCCCTTAGGAAAAGGAGATGGGACTTGTATCAAAAGACAATCTTTATTAAACTTGATGTAAAATACCTTCTTCACCAGGAAGAGGTGCCTGGTTACCAGTTTCTAACAAAGGCTCCCTGACCCTCTTGGTCTGCATTGTGGGTCTCGCTCCCATCTTGGGCCGCTCAGCCATTTTCTTCTGCAGGTTCTCTCGCCTGGCCCGGGTTCTTTCAAGGAGTTTCTGAGTAGTGAATAAACCATGTGTTACTATACAGTGCAATATATGTGTTAACTAGCAATAGCTTAAATTAGAAATGTTTGATTTTTATATAACTTATACTAAAATCCACAATACCAGAAATTTATAGTGAAAGCTACATTAAGACAAACGCAGCTCTCAGACGTTGCTAACTGATCCACTGTAATGCAACGCGATAGAAATATTCAGAGTCCAGTTTTCTGAATGGTTATGCCCTCCTGAAAGCAGAATGAACAAAACATGCTTTCTACACTGCCAGCTAGATGTTTTTTCTACCTCCTTTGTCTCACTGTGATAAAACCCTGACCTCCATACTTTGATTTCACCATTGCAATACCCATAGCTTCTCCCATTTTCAGTAAGTACCTGTTAAATAAAAGGTAGCTCACGCTGTAGCACGTGCCAAGTTACCTTCTTGCTATCTGGCCAGTCAGTACATGTTTGCAGGTTTTCTGAAGTTCTTTGGCCTACCAGACAGATAACAGTCTGCAGCATTTTCTTTACCAAGTCAGTGGTTTGGTTTCTGTCACTCAGCCACATACTTTGGTGAATATTGTAGAAGCAGTTACATCTGAGACACCTACTATTTTATTAAGAAGAGGTGAAGCTAGCCAGCAGGTTCCAAAGTTCCAGTCATTTAATCAACTGGTGTCTCCTACTAGCTTGGCTTTCAGAGGAAACCAGGCTAATGAGGCATAAACAATGGCAAAATTTAAATAAAGCAGAGGCAGTTCTGCAGAGCCTGAAATAGTCAGAAATGTTTGAAAGTACTTTTTTTTTTTTGAATCAGCACATGACAGTCTTGAACTGTCAAGTCTTGTTAGTAAGTTTTTTGACACATTGATAAAGCATATGGTCAAGTCACCTGATTGGCACTAACCTTCTAACATAATAAACATTGAAGTGGTTGCCAAGTAGTCATAAAAAAATCATCAAATTAAGTGTGGGGCTGTTAATATTTTTAAAAGTTGTTGCTATTACATCTTGTAAATAAAAAGGTGAATTTTTGTTCCTCAAGCTTAAATTTTAAGAACAGACTGATATTATAACCAGTTGTCTTAATAAACAGGCTATTTATCACAGTATGTCAGTATACAGAAAACAGAGATACCAGTTAAGCTACCTAACAACATCCTTCATTTCCTATCTATTGGAAATTTGAGTACTATGATCATATTCCATACAAAAGAGCTGTTTTAGTAAGTGTTCCACACTAGTAGAAAGTGATTCCTTATAGCATCCAAGTTTGAAATAGGTTGTATACATTTTATTTTGTGTTTCCCCCCCCCCCCCCCGTTTTTGTTGTAGTTTTGGGGGTTTTGTTGTTGTTTTTTCAAAATACTGCATTCATAAATCTTTATCACTCAGTTTGATCATATCTAAAGGATAATTAATTAGTCCTTTGATCTCGGTTTTAAGGCACTTTGAAACAACTAATTGTGTCATTGAACTAATGGCCTTTAAAGGGAAGCATATAAACTGCACTTGTTTGTTGGCACATAAATTATTGCAAGAACAGTGCCAGGCATTATCTGTCCTGTTGCACAGCAATTAAATACACATTTCACATTTTAACTGTCTAAGGCTGTCATCTTAAACAATGTTCCATTGTAGGGCAACACAGGACAAACAGAATGTCAATCTCAACGTTTTTTTTTTGTAAAAGCAAAAATCAGCTTCTCTAACTTTCAGAGAAGAGGAGGATTTTGAGAAAACAACACAAAACAAAAAGACAGATGAAATGTCAGGAGTTCCTTAGATGTAAGTCCCATGCTAGTTGTGCCCACAAAAGTCAAGTTTCCTTATTTCAACCTCCAAAAGACAAAGCTACAAAGTGCAGGTAATACATAAATAATATCTTAAATGCTATATAAATTAACTGTTCTTCTCATGTGATGTTTAATATATCTTCCACAACAGTATTTCTACAGTTCTATTCAAATGGAGTCACATTCCTGTCTGTTTTGTTAGTTCAGTAAAATGGAGTTTCAGTTGTTGCAAACAAGATATCACTTCCCAAGAATGCACGCCTCTGCTGTTGAACTCCAGCTCCTATTGGCTTTTTGTATCTCAAGTTTTCCATGCAACTGCCATAATTCAAACTGTGCTATTACACACTATGAGTAAGCAAGCCAGTCACCAGAACTTGAGACTTGAAACTTTTCAAGTTCATCAACAGGGTATTTGTTACAAGTACATTATACAAGTGTTCTGATAAGAGCCAAAGTTTCTGAGTAGGACATACCTATTTCATTACATCTAGGAATCTGAGCACTACTGAGTCACAGCTAGACGATTACACTTTATATTGCAAAAACACGATCTAAAAATCAGAAAAGGCCTTCCCACTTTAAATGTTGATGGGCAATCTTGGTTTTAAAAATGTATGTTTTAAAGTACATATTTAGCAGCATTAGAGAAGATACTCAGACCCATATGTGATTACAACAATGTGTTCTAACTACCCTGCTTTACTAGCAGAATGCAGCAAAAGGAGCAAATTTATCCATGACACTGGAAAAAACAGTTAACTTCAAACTTCACATATGCAAGTTTTCCCCTGAGCAACTGCATCACTTATTTCTCTTTGGTCATCCTACATGCTAGGAAACCATACTTTGCTCTATGCCTGTTAATAAGCATTTCAAAGTACAAAATAACCTAGACTATTTCTAATATTCTGTAGTTCCAAACATAAGGTCTTTTGTGCAACAAAGGTGAGTTTTACAATCAGCTATAAACTGTAAGTCACAAAAGGTATGTTCATTGTGATCCTAAAAAAAGTATCCACTGCACTATCTTTTCAGTGCATTCTATATGAATAATTTGGTTGAGATTTGGAAGACTATTAGTTCTTGCCTGTAAGATTAATCAATAGAAACATTATTTCAGAAGTCTCCAATTTGAAAGCATTTCACTAAATCTTACAGCAAGATTTATTTGCGCTTAAATTCAGTGAGACCTGGACAAAATTTCTTCGTGTAAAGTGATAAGCAAAAACAGAATTAACAGCATGCTTTAGCTAATGAAAGCTCAAATAATGCTGCTTTACATAATCAACACTTACAGTGCCTCACCAGTTCCCTACAAGTAACAGGACACAGTAATTTGTAGACAAAGATTATCCAAAAATAGTTAAGCTAAAGAAAGGTTATATTAAAAGAAAAAAAAGAGAACATAAATACTTCATAGTAGGTGGCAAAAAAATCTTCCTTTTCAGAAAATTTTTTGAGGAAAGTTATTGAACTTTAATACTAATACAGTAACATTAGTCAGATCTTTACACATCAGTGGAATGCCCTCCATAGCATAAACATTCTTTATAAGGCAACATTTTAGGAACTCTGCGATACTAGCTAACATTTGAATGAAGTTTACTCTGAGGAGCAGCCTCACAGCTGGTAACAGCTTTTCAAAGTCAGTTATTTACAAGAAGGGCGTGTTGAGGTTGGAATATCTCCCAGTATGCAAAACCATTTTAAACTTGATTCAGTAGTCTGGACTTGAAGTTTATTTAAGACTAGTTAGATCATGTCACTCACTACCAATTAAGGAAGGAGGTTTTAGGTGTTTATACTTAGCAAGCCTTTACGTGGGGGTAGGGTAAATCTGCCTTGGCATAACCCATTTAGTAAAGATGTTGAGATCAATACCTTATGCTCAGTTTTTAAAATCGGATCTGTGCAGTTGCCTTTTCTGAGCGCTCAATTTATTTAAAGCATGTCAGTTTGATATACAGATTGTTTTCACTGGGAGGAGAGAGTATTTCACCAGCGTATTTGATTTGGATTTTTCTTAAAGTAATTCAGGCTTTTTAGGCAGGCTGTGGATTGAAGGCCATTTTTACTACGACATTTCTCAAAGCAGTCACAAGACTTCACAGCTTTATATCTATCACACACAAAAATCAAAGTACAGCATAACATCTTTAAGAAACCTGACATTCATATTCAAGCCAGTCAATTCCACTCATTTTGTTACAATTTTGCCTCTGTAAAACCCAACCACCCACACACATAAATCCACCCCACCAGCTGCTTTTTTTTTTAAAAAAAAAAAAAAAAAGGAACTGTGCCTGCCAATGAAAGTGACCAATCACACGTGGCAATAACGTCAGACAGGACACACTTTTGATCAGATGGTCGCTGCTTTGGGCAAACTTCCCACTCGACCTTTAGATATGACAGGCAGAATGTGTGTCAACACCACTCCCATTAGCTTCCAGGGTCCCTTATGTTTCAGTCGAAAATCTTATCTGCCAGACGCACGCGAAAGGCAAACACTAAAGCGCTAGGAAACGCGGTCAGGTATCAGCTCGCCTTAAATCAGTCCCTCTCCTTCGCAGCCCCTTGCATGAATAACCCCTCTGTCCTCTCCTGGAAGAGACCCGACGCCCCGCAAACGCCTTGAGCGGCCACAGCATCGGAGATACCAGCACAAGCAAGACGAGGGTGCTGAGAAAGTCTCCCCGCTGCAGAGAACTCGCCCGCCCCGGACTAAGCCCCCCTCCACGGCTCGGGGCCGTGCCCTCACCTCAGTGAACGGGTCCATCGCTGCTGCGGGTGCTGTCAGTGCCGCCGCCGCTCCCTCAGGCCGCCCCGGAATGGCGAAGCCGCCGCTCCCAACCGCCCCCCTCAGATTTGAATTTCAGCGCCCGCCCCAACTGCGCAGGCGCCGGGCGGCGCGCGCAACGGCCCCGGCCCCGCCCCCTCACGCGTCGGAGGCAGGCAGCGGCGGGCGGAGCGCGCGCGGCGTCCCGCCCCGCGCGCTGATGGACAGGAGGGCTAGCCAATCCGACGAGCAGGCCGCCCCGTCGGCGGGCTGCCCCGTTCTGTGAGGGAGCGGGCGCGGAGGGGGGCGGCGATGGCGATCCGGATTCGGGTTGCGCTGCCCGTGGCTTACCCAGCCCGAACTCGCTTTACGCGGCTGCTCTCCCTTTCCCGGTCCTGGGAGCAGGCGTGGAGCCGTGTGCTGCGCCCCCGAGCTCAGGGTGTGACTCCTGCGTGTGTTCGCGCCGCCGGAGGTTTCTGTGTGGGGTGTGCAGGGCCATGGCGGTCCCCTCGCTGAGCGCGAACTGTGGCTTTTTTTTAAAGAAAACGGAGGCTTTAACCTCTTTCACTGGCAAGCAGAGCAATACTGTCTGGTTGACTCCACATCTTGCTGCAGCTGCTCAAGGAGGTGTGACCCCCGAGCCTTTTTTTATTTCAAGTTTAACTCTTCAGCCGGCATTGACAGGAAGACATGATTTTAATGTTAGTCTGAATGGAGAGTATACTTACCCAGTGCAGTTGTGAAATCCGCAGCTCCTTCTCATGGCTTTTATATTTTTTCCTTACGCTACACCCCATGGTCTCATCAAACCTCACCCACTGGTTCCTCCCGCTGTCCCCTTCTCCATTTCACCGCCAGACGTTTCTTAATGTGCGTTAGGCATAATGAACTCAGCAGAGACCCATCAGCCGCTCAGATCCTGTCCTTGCCATCCAGGCACCATCTCAAACTCCCCACAAACACGTTGACCGCAATCGCAAATACAGCTTGGTTTGGTTTTTTTTTTTTTTTTTGTCTGCTGCTCTCCCTGGCCGGCTGCTGTAGGCCTGACTGCCCAAATGACTGCACCTCGTCAAATTTCCAGTCCACCCAGACACACTGGCAGCCCTTTATACCTTTTTGCTCATATGCAAACAATGTTCGTTACCTTGCATGAATGCCTTCCTTCCCTAGTGCTGTGCTTCCTGCCTCTTGGATTACTTACAGGCAGCAGTCATTTCTTCTTCCAACCTTAACTTTGCCTTGCTAAACAAACCACACGCTTCTAATCATCCCTCATTAGAAAATCTTTCCAATGTCTTATTTGCAAGCAGCACAGCATCAGTCTGCAGCAGAACGTAAGAATACAGTATCAAATAATTATTTTCTGAGAAAATCTTAAAAGATTGGACACCCTGGCCAACAATGTCCCTGCGCTGTTCTCAGATAAATGTGGGTTGGAGCAGCCTGAGGTCCAGCATCAAAAATTGCTCACACACCAGGCTGAAATTTGGGACTTAACAGATGGGACTCATCACTCATTCATAATCTATGAACCAGCCTGCACAGTGATAAGAAATGACAGGCTTTATTTCCTTCAAGAGAAACTAGGTATATCTATCACTGGGAAATAATAGAAACATTCCTTTAGTGGAGCAGTAGAGAATCAATGCGGGCAAATACCAGAAGACAAAAGAGCCAATATGGAGCTCAAAGTCACCATCAGAAAATAAAAAAGATAATTAATTACCCATTACATCTTTTCTTTCTCCTGCCATCCCAAAGGAAGAAAAGTCATGCACAATTTGAATCCTTTACATACAACAGGATTATTGCAATTTAAACATGATTTCTGCTTTACATGTGGATCTATGAGATTTATACAGTGCAATTCCAGCTGTCATTGGTGCATTTCCAAACATGGCTTCATCCACTGCTGTTGTCTTTTAAGTGATACGGCATAGTGCACGATGCTCAGCCTGGGGCCAACCAAAATGGTGTTAGCTGCACTGTTAGTTAACATAATAATCTCATCTGCTGTTTAATATTAAAAAAGAGGGAAATAATCATGCTTTATTCTGTAAAATAAATTCTCATTAAAAATATTGCTATAAAGTATATTCTGAAAAATTAAATTGAAATTCCTAGGAATGTATAACTGCTTAAAACATAAATGCAACATACATGTGACAAATGTCCTTTCCATTTGGTCTCTACAGAGTCAATAATTTCTTCATCATTTTGATCCAGACTCGGTGGCGCTCTGCTATAAATAAATAGAATACTTAGTTTCTCATCTTCTCAAGAGGTTATGTCTGTCTTCCAGACGAGCAATAGACGGCAAATACGCCTTATCTTTTTATTGCTCCAAGGAGCCAAAGAAAGTCAGGTTTTTTTCAGGGATGGTGCTATAAAGTGCCTATGAAATCCATTGTAATGGTGGGGGGTATGGCCCGTAGCAATGAAATTTCCAGTCAGGGTTATTTTTTTCTTAATAAATTAATAAAACTGTTTGCAACTTATGGAAAAAAATCAACTGATGTTTCACAGTCTGAAGGCATAAAGAAAAAGAGAGGGAAAGAAAGGAATGCCATGTTGAAATCAGCAAACAATGAGCCAGCTCTGCCTGCTGAACAACATTATACTTTATGCCAGCTTTTTGCATTCAAAAATTATGAATCACACCCTTCTCCTCAGCCCATGTGACATGGTTTAAAATTTCTTCTTGCCAGGGGTAAGCTAATGGAAAGTAATCCCTTCTGTAACAATAAATAACACAATACAAAGCACTTGGGGAATGGTTTTTGCTGGCTTGCAGTTTTCATGGGAATTGAGAGCATGGGCACAGAAGCCAGCCATTTGTCTTTTAACATGGCAAGAAAAACATTTTTACTTTCCCAAGTTTTTCCTCCAAAAATTTATAAAGCATATTGACAGTTTTCAGGGTATATTTTAATTTTCAGAAGGTTATAGAAGTTTGCATTAGCACTTTAGTAAGAATGGAGCACTTATTAACTAATAACTTCCTAAGGAGAGCACTAGCCAAAGTTTTTGTAGCTCTGGCTTCCTTGCAATACTGATACAATCATAAATGTAAAATATTGAAGGAGAAAATTCTGATCACAGTGTAATTTGTACAGCTCCATTCTGTAATTCTCAGAGAATAGTTCCTAAAACTTTCCTTCTGCTGAGAAATTAAGTTCACAATTCTGATTCTGAAGGAAAGATGAACAAGATGCTTCCTTTAATTCACAGAAAAATCTTAGTAATCCTGTCATGTAGAGAAAAATACTATTTTCCAACTTGGAATTTCCTTTTATTCACAGTTAAATAATTCACAATGAAAGCTGAAGTTCACCTTTCCCTTGCAAATGGATTCAATCTATTGCATGGTAATACAGTACATTATAATTCAGTACACTGTAGTATTCCTTGTAGTTTAGGTTTACCTTCAAAAGGCATTTTTTTACCAGAAAATTCGCTCTTCCGCTAATGAGTTGGAGAGCTATCATGATTCTGATACTCATTTCACACTGGCAATGTGATTGCCTGGGATGCCACAGAGAGGAGAAGCAAATGTACAGAGTGTTGTACCTAATTATTTCTGGACTGTAGTCCTATTAGAATTATTTATTCCCAGTGACTTCAGACAAAGGGTTTAACCTTGGGGAAGAGGCAAGGAGACAGCCCTTGCAGAGCTTCCCGAGGACTGTGCCACCATCACTGACATGCCTTTCCCCTCGCCCACCATCTTTCTGCCTGCATTGGATCCTGGAGGACGTACGGTGCAGGTCCCAACATGTCTTGGTGCCTAAGATGAAGCCGAGCTGTAAGAAATTCCCCTCTTCACAAGTCCCACACCAGGACCTCTGTGTGAGGGAATCTTGCACTACAGAGGAGCAGTAAGAATATAATACCCATCCTTTCCTCAGTGATTCTGAAATGAAGACCAAATTGTGCCCCTGGATCCTCCTGAATACACTAGCGTGCCAGAGACTTGGCCTGGGAAAAGGCAACTTCACCCCCAAACAATGACTAGAAGGGCTGGTCCATAGTGTGGCAAAACACTGCAGTTTGGATTAATCTGTATTTTCTATTGCAAATATAATCAGAAACATTTTGATGAGCAGCATTTAGGATCTGTTCTCTGTGCTGAGCCAAAGGTGATTACACTGCTTTTGTCAGCTTCTGTGACAATCACAGAGGCAATTTAGGCTGATGTTACCCAGTAAAGGAATATGTTTATGTCAGGAATAAGACAAGTTTTGTGAGTAAGTAACCCAGTGCGTGACATGGATTTAAATTAACAGTGCTCAGAGCACAGGTCTCTCTTCGAGTAGCCTGAGTAGGAAATTGATAACCAGCTCAACCAGACTAAAAGAATGTGAGACCCCATAGTTATTACAGTCAAACTTCCAGCTGGGATTGTGCTTTATCATACCAAAAGGCTTTGATTATTGCCCTGTCTTGGTAAGTGTAGTTGGGTGGAAAATCCTTTAAACTGGGTATTTGCTGGGGGGAGATAGGCTACATTTTCAGAATGTACAGAATGAATTTCAAAGAATGTGAATTTTGTTCCCTCCCTTGTCATTTGCAAAATATGGGAGTTTCCAAAAAAAAAGCTGGCTTGCTAAAGACATCATTTACATTAAAGGTAGGAAAAGCACACCGTCATTTATATTCTACACTTAATTACTGTACGATGACATGGATGGATTAGTGTTAACTGTTGTCAGAGCTGAAATGCATCATCTCTTGTGAGGAGTGACTGAGGGAAAATCATACAGAAATCGAAGCTGGAGGGAAAAGCAAAAGCATTATGGGGAGAAAGAAAGAATAAAAAAAAAGAGTAGAGAACGTCAAATAACAAGGAAGAAGAACAAAACAGGAGGAAAAGATGGAAAATATATTAAAATGGAAAAACAGTGAAACAAGGAATGAGACAATACTCATATTTCGTTAACAATGAGACAGTTGTCAAGTAGACTCAATTTCAGAAAAAATCTCTGGGTAGTTGAACTCTGCATTTTTACAAGGCAGTGGGAGTTAAGAAACATTTGCCTGTCATGCACTCTGAAACGATTTA